TGCCTCTGTCGATCAAGATTCAGTGCTTTTGTAGAAATGTCTGTGAGATTTGTTTCACTCAACGAGACCGAACAATCAGGAATGCAAGTCAAGTAGCTTAGGATGGTTGATGATTTTTTCTTCTTCTGAATTTTCTCCACAAGTCAAGATAGCATAGTTGAGGGACATTGTGAAGCTTTTTTATTGTATAAATGAATTTGGTGTACACTGTGAATTAAAGCTCCGGATATTTGAAGCTCCTTGCGAATTTTGCAGTGTATATTTATTGTTGTCCACTCTTGTGATAACAATGATGTGCAGTTTGTAGTGTGATTCTGTTGTCGTCGAATCACTAGCTCAAATCACTAGGAAGATGTGCAAACTACATAATTTTGTACAAACTACAAAAATTCTTCCTTGGCAAATGGTTCTTGTCTTCCTTTGCCGCCATGCTGAACCTCTGAAGAAAATTTGTAGTTTGCACATGTATCAGCAGCTCACTTCACTGGCAAAAAGTATCCTTTGCAGTCATTGTTGGGTCTGTCTTCTTTTGCACACTCATGTCAGTCGAGCCCCATGTGAAGATGCAGGGAGCAGGTCAACATCGAGGTTTGCCGTGGACAGAGCGCCGGTGGAAAGCTACGCAACGAGCAGAGGAGCTGCACCTCAAGGACAAGCTGCAGGGGCACCGATGTACGCGGTCGAGAGCGGCAGGGGCAGCGGCCATGGCCGCGGCGAGCGAGCTGGAGAAAAGAGTAGAGGAGTTGTGCCTCAAGGCGAGCTGCCGGGGCGCCGAGGAATGCCGGATAGAGCACCTGAGGCGACGGGGCGGAGTCGGCGGGGGCGATGGCGGCTACGGCGGCGAGCGAGGGGTTTGGTAAGGCTGCTCGAGGTTAGGGTTCACGATTTGTTAGTTGAAACAGAGGATAACTAGGCAACGTGCTTTGAGATTCGGTTTCTTCATGTGTCAACATGTGGAGAGGGCCTCACCATCGCTGCGTGCGACCCAGGTCGCATAGGATTATTTTCCCCATTGATGCCCCATGAGAATATTTTCATTTGGAATCGAAAACCTTGCTCTCTTTCTCCTTCTCTCTCAGGAATATTTTTCATAATGATTGCAGTGCATGGGTTTTGAGATTTGAAATCCACTTTTTACCACAAGTATATGTAATTTAAATTTGGGTTGTTGGTAGCTGGTACTTCTACCAACAACTATGAGGGTGCTTGGATACGTTTTAGTCCCATGACTAAAAGTAGTGGGACTAAAATTTGCTAGCCTCACCCATGCTTGGATCCAAATACTAAAGAAACTAAAATCAAATTATTGAGCATTTATTATCCTCCAAACCATCCAATCCAGAACTCGCATGTGTTAAAGTAGACGAATTAAATGAGGGGAGAGAGGACTAATACATATTTTAGTAGGTTTCCTATAACTAAAAGTTTTTAGCCTCAAGACTAGTCCTAGCCTCTTTTTAGTCAGGGGTGCTTGGAACTTTAGCCTCTAAAAAAGACTATTTTTAGTCGGACTAAAAATAGTCCCTTGAATCCAAGCACCCTCTATATAACCTCTTCCAGAAGTCGTACGTTAATGAGGCTAGTAGCTAGCGCAGTTAATATCAATCATTTTAGCGAGGGTTCACCACCAAAAATAAATCATTATAGCGAGGGAAACGGTAGAGGTTATTGCATTCTCGGTGTAGATAAATATAGTGAGGGTACAAATAGTAGATAGTGTAGTGTGAGAAAAAATGCTCTTGCCTTCACGACTAGCCAACGTACCCAGGAGGGAGTTTAGTCAATTTGCCCGCTAGCAAGAAACTAACAAGAGTGGTTCAGAGACTGAAGACTCGAGAGCAAGAGGGAGATATAATGATAGACACGAGCTGTGGATATGCATGATAGGAATGAGACACATCTGGAAGCAAAATGTCCGCGTCACCCGAATATGTCGGAGGGCTCCATATATAAGGTCAAGGTCGGCGAGTACGCTAAGAACAGCAACAGCGGCGAGTAGTAGACTGGGAACAGTGGCCCGGAGGTCTCGTCCGTGATGCATCTGGCTTGGGCGCTGAGACGTTTCGCCGGTCTGGAGAAAGTATCTCCACCTTCGGTACTAGGGTGTCTTCTATTCTCATCCTTGGGCATCTTCTCCTCCAGGGTTTTTCTGGTGATCGTGTCTCTCCGACCTGCTTCGTGCAGTCACCGACCTAAGAAAGTTGCCGTGCCTTTCACCCGCTCAGCTCCAAGACTGCAAGTTTGGTTGCTCGTGTCGGGACTGCCATGCCAGTCGCCTGATCGTATCCTCGTGCAATGTGTTCAGTTGCCCTTTATGGAAAATTGAAAATGCGACACAAACGGGATGTTAGATTATTTCGAAGGAAATCTTGTGTAAGTTCAGCAAAGTTCTAAAACCATCAAGTAAAAGAATACCATAACGGCCTCCCGGGTCGCTTGCTAGGGCGACTCTGGTCTGGAGGCCACCCGAACCCAGTGGAACAACTCATCTCTCCTCCTTCCCCTACCGCCGTGGCGGCGGCACTCGGCCATCGAAGGCGGAGGGCTTGCTGCAGGCTTGTCAAGCGGACATTTGAGCTCACTGCTTCCTGTAGCGGCATGAGACGGCGGAACAACTGTATCTACCGTTTCCTTCCCTGCCACTTGCATGGCCACCCCCATGCCCAGGTGCAGACTTATCTCGCTTGGCAGGACATGCAGACACCGCACCAGAATTTCCCGTTGAGGACCACCACAGATGTGTAATCAGGGAGTGCAGGTGATGAGTTGAGGAATGGTGATTTTCTTCGAAAGGCGAGACCCTACCTGACACAACCAAATATACCGCTACACGGTGCCTGTGTCGTGTCCCCTGGGTCTGGTCATGAACGACCCACATTTGTATTTTGTAAACAAAAAGGCCAGCGTGAATGGTGACATCATCTCTAGGATTCCCTTCTCGGAGAACTGGAGCTTGCCAATGGTAATCCACCTCCATCACACCCCCTCGCGTCTGCCTGGGTGACTCAAGCGGCATCCCGATTCGCTAATCCCGACAGCCCCCGATCCGTGCGCTCTTCCCTCGCGGCGGCTGGGCTTGCATGCACGGCCAATGGTGGCGGCGGGGCTCCATCCCTGCTGCTAATCGGGTGGCGTGTGGCATTATGATGGAAATGGCTGGCGGCAGTGGTAGCGGTTGAAGCAGCGGCGCGGCGGCCTCTGAGAACTGACAGCAGGGCTCCCCCTCTTCTGAATCTGATCGCGTCGGCATCGCCATGCTGCAGCCGCCCCTAACAGAGGAGGGAAAGGAGCAGCAGCCGCCATGATCCCACGTGGTGAACCTAGATGCTTGCTCAAGAGTCAAGTGAAGACGAAGCCCTTGCACTGGTTGTCATCTGGTAGATGCAGCGGAAGTCAACCTTGTCACCGGCGGGAAGACCGCCGGTGTGGGAAGGCAACAAGCAGACCTAGATATATACTCATGCGTTCTGCTGGGTCGCCAGAGCCTTCGGTAGCCATCTTCTTCGCCAAGTGATGACCTCCTTTACATGCACAAAAAGTTTCAAGGTCAGAGGAGTAACGGGCTCCTCACTTCCTTCAAAAACCGTACATGTTCTCTATAGAAAGCTAGATCCTACCTCGGAGAAGGTGTGGTTTCTATGAGGGCTCCATCTGTCTTTTGTGGAACACGCTCAAATATTTACCAAAACTCTAACAGGGCCATATGATGACACCATGCCAGGTCTCGTGTGGATTTCCAACATCGTACGATTTTCCATGAATTTAAATGGCTACATCCGGCATGTCGCCGCGTAGCCTGCCCCTCCTTCGGCTGTACAGGGCCTACACATGGGGCAAAAACAACAGATAGAATTTTTCAAGCTCCTTCTGGTAATGATTTCATTTGGCCACCTTTTGAATTTTCTGCATTAAAACCATAGAAATGCAATAAATGACTCAAATATTGCAGGAGGACAGAAAAAAGCCAGAGGCTGACACGTCCCATATGATGGACTCCTTTGTGTGCACAAAAAGTTTCTAGTCCAACGGAGTAACGGGCCCCGCACTTGCTTGACAAACAGGTCGGTGTGGAGTAGCGGCAACAGGTTGTTGTGAAGACGCGACGGCGGCAGCCTAGTGTTTTATTAAGTGGCTTAATGTGGTTGAACCTATGAAAATTATGCAATGGTGGTCATACTTATGTAATGGTTGAACAACATATATTAGTGCCATTTTTATTATTAAAAAAAGGAACGTCTCTATGCCAAGTCCCAAACGATGGAGTACTCGGCAAAGGGCGCCAACTATCATGGAGTCGTCAACCACCAACGCCCGTGCCACGTGTCTCCTTGTTTCCGTGTCCTTAGGTCTCGGCATAGTAAGCGTAAGTCGAGTGTTTCATCTTTGCCGAGTTCACCTTTGTCAATCTCGGCAAAGGCCTATATCTACCATTTACTTAATGTTGCCGAGACATGTACTCACTTAAAACTGTCTTTACCGAGCTTTCGTGATTTGGCTCTCGGCGTAGGTGAAAGTAGTCGGCTTAGATGATTTTTCCAGAAGTGATTTATGACCTGACACATAGCTCTTGAATATATGTATTTTATTTCTTTTGACTTCCCCAACTAGAAGCATTATGAACTATAAAGATAATGGCAGTGAGTGTGTCACCGTCTCTAGGGGAGTGATGTCCAGTGTCAGCTCCTCGGAATCCGATCCAAGCGCATTCATGGCGTCGGTGATGGACGGTCGGCTGCTCGGGTCCTGGTGTGCACAGAAGAGTCCGATGAGTAGTGCATGCTTCATCTGCTGAAGGCCATTAGTAGACTGGCCGTTCATCAGCCTTTCGTCTACGGCTTCCAGAATCGCATTCCCGTTGTACTTACTCCATACCCATGTGGACAATGGAGGCATATCCTGATCTGTTGGGTTCCTTATAGAGACCATCTCTAGTAGGACGATGCCGAAACTGTAGATGTCGGACTCCCTATTCCGTTTGCTCGTGTCAATGAACACAGGATCTATGTATCCAATAGTGCCCTGTACGACATTTGTGGTCTGTGACCCGGTTTCGTGGTGAAAAATCTTGCCAATCCGAGGTCACCTAACTTGGCACCAGACGAAGAGCCAAGTAATATGTTACTCGATTTGATATCACCATGTACGATACACTGTTGATCTTGCTCGCAATCTACATGGAGGTATTGTAGTGCAGAACCTAGGTTGAGGATAATCTCATGCCTGCGTTTGCCAAAGCATGTTTACCATTACGTATGAACAAACAGAAATTAAGTTGCAGCGATGTAATTGCTGAGGCAAAACTAAAACACATACCTCTTGGACCACGGTAACAAACTGTTGCCCCCGTGTAGGTGTCGATCAAGGCTACCTTCTTGCAAAAGCTCATACACAAGGAAGAAACGTGTGTACCTTTCGTCCCACCACCAGCATATGGACTCAAACAGGTTCCTTTGGCCATCGTAGCACCAGCCTATCAACTTGACAAGATTCTTATGCCGTAGGCGACTAGTGATCATGAGTTCATCCTCGAACGCCTTCCTCCCCTCGCCTGATGGAACCAGCTTGAATCTCTTTATCGCTACCTGGCTACTTTTTAAAAGGCCCCGATAAACAAAGGCAGAACCTCCTTGACCAAGCTTGTTTTCTTCTGCGAAATTTTTGGTCGCACGTGCCAGCTTATGATACCCAATATGTTTACGGCCATTGGCGAGGGCTTTGTATGGCTTCTTTCTTGTGCACAGCTGCCATCGACGGACTCCAACAAAGAAGCACACAATTGCAATAACTCCAATAATTGGCCCAGTTACCTCTGCTATTTGTTTCCACAAAATCTTCCGTGTAGGCGACGGATCCAAGGTAGAGTTGAATGACCAGGACATTATTTGGTGTAGCTCAACCGCCACGCCAGTAGCACCCGAGAAGCCGATGGACACAACACTGGGCAAGAGCTGAGGCAGGTCAACACTTGTATTCACATGGTAGGTGACGTCGCCGATCTGGAGAATGGCGGCTAGTATTTTTGTGTCGTTTCCGTAGCTGATATGGCAAGTCATAGGCAGGCCGGTTGTTAAGTTCTTGCCATGCACGCTCACGTTGGTGTACGTCCGCGAGATGATGGAGTTGACGTCGATGCCCACGTGGCTGCTGCTTGTGCCGATACCGGGGTTCAAGAAAGTGTCAAACTCAACCGCCACCGCTCGTTCATTGCCGGTCGCGACCGTGCTGATGTTTCGGTTAAAGAGTCCAAGGTTCTTGCTGTTGTCGAGGGGATCAGGAATGCTTGTCGGAGGATAATGCCCGAGGAAGAAAGCCAAGGCATCACCACTGACAGGACCATTTACCTTGATTCGGAAAGTGAAGGAGGTGGTGAACCGGGTGAGCTCGCCGGTGTCGACATCCCACAGCTTCACCGGCTGCGCGTGCAATGCTCGGCCCACGCTGTTTTGGATGTTCGGACTCCCGTCGCCTTTTGTCAGCTCGATCCTCTGAGACTGGGAGTCGTAGTATGCATCGCCCTGGAAACTGAAATCTTGGGCGTCATAGCCACCGGGCTGGGAGAAGTTGAAGCTGAAAGAATGCGAGGTAGCACGAGGCGGGTGCAGAGACCATATGGAATAGTAGTACAGAAGCATGAGGATGTCTATTCGACGGGAAAATCTCACAGCAGCAGCCATTTGCTGTGCTGTGTTTGGAAGATCGTCAGCAAACACCTCGACGCTATATAGTACTACAACTTGTGATCTCGAAATCTTCAATAAATATTTGGCAATGCAAACGAACAGCTAGCCAGAGCTAGCTGCCGGGGAATCCACGCACATCCAGTGTAGAGGCCGGAATAACCTCTAGTAATGTCCGCTAAACAGAAAGGGTTAGAGGATAAACCAAATGACAATACCTCAACAACGCCTTTCTGCGGAATCTCCTAGGTGGGAAATTAAAACAAGGTAGTACTATACTATATTATGTGCTATCTGACCAAGTCTATCTGACTGCGCAAGTCTGAAGCGTAACATGTTTGTGGTGTTTGATTCTTTGTTATTCTGAAGTCAAGTGCACGCTAGCCATGTTTGTGGTGTTTGATTCTTTGTTTGGACTTTTGCTGCCTCTTTCTGCTATTCCGGTGCAATCAGATCCACGTTCCAAGTATCCCTTTTGCGAACATATGTATATCCTCCTCCTCAACATTTAATTCTACCCAATGGAAGAACCGAACTCCCAACCAAATTAACAAAGATCTTCAACAAGACAACACTGCATACCCGAGAGCGAATATGTCCATAGATGGTTGCAGAGGAACATCTGCTGACTCTTAGGACTCACCACCATGGAATCTATGGAGTAAAAATGGAGTTTAGTTTATACTATTTCGTAGTAAAAAAAAGTGCCATCAAAAAGAAGTTACAATCTATCAAAGACATATAGCATAAAAGTACAGCGCATCACAAAATACATGGACTGCCTTCAAACACAATGTGCGGTTTTTTTCTTATACATCAGTGCATCACAGGCTAGGGTATGCTATCTACGCTATTCCATCTTCAAATCACAGTCGCTTCCGTGCAAACGGCGGCTGCAGAGCAGACCCGTCCCACATGATGCTGTGTTCCTCATGTAGTCAGCCTAGTTCGGCTCAGCACACTAGTGCGGAGCGGGCTTCATGCTGCGAAGGTCGGGGTTGCAGCCCCGAGTACTCGCAAAAAAAAAGTAGAACGATAGCGGCAGCACAGAGAATGGTGGCGGCGCGACGTCCTAGTCTGTTTTGCGCGATAGATGTGTGCCATAGTTTTGGCAGCCCATGATGTTGTTGCAGGGGAGGCCCTTCACTCGGCAGATCTGATGCCCACCTAGTGTGAGCACATTTGATTGTCTTCAATGGTTCATCTCTGCTCACGGGAAGTATGGTTTGGCGGCGGGCCCAGGATCATGGCAGATGTTGTAGGTAGGTTTGCGTAGGTATGGAGTGGCGGCGGTCATACCCATGCTGCATCATGGACAACCTCTCTATGGCCTGGGAGGGTGATCTATGGTGGGAAGATGTCCCTCCCGTCCGCTAGCGTCATTTAGGCCTTGCATGGAGTTCATGCTAGCGTGCTGTAAGATCTGTCTTCGGTATGGTGATTGGAACATCACTTCATGTTCGGGATAAAAACTCTTGTTCTAGCCTTGATTGGTTGGGCTCAGCAGCGATTAACTGGCATCATTACCTTGTTTAAGGTGTTTCCTCATTGCTGATGTGTCGGACTTTGATTCTTGGTCTCGGCAACCAGGATGAAAGTCCTTGTCTTCGCCATTTTCGATCGAATATGATGGCGGCGGCCCAAGGGCAGATTTTCCTTGAAGGAATTGTTTCGGATGAAGTCAGCTTAGTTATAGATGTTTATTTCGTATCATGTAATTCTTTAGCCAAGATTTCCTTTGTTTTGTACTCGGTTTAATAATTAATAAGAATAGTTGTGTGTGATGCATAGGCCGGTGTTTAACCTCCTTTTTGTCAAAAAAACGAAGGGTGGATACCACGTTCTAGTCGATCCCCCTTCGATGGATCAAGTAAGAGTTGTGTTAAACCCAAGATTCAGAGTAGCGCATGTGGCTGCATGCAACTATATCCCATCATCCATGGGGGGAATTGGATACTAGGTTATGATCGATGCCCTCCCTCTGACTTGAAATAATTGATTTTACATGAGAACATGGGGTTTTAATTTTGGGTTGTTGGGACGGCCGTGTACCAACAGAACTATACAAATTATTCAGAAAGTCTACATTATTGAGGCTGGTAGGTCGGTTGGTATCAGTCGTGGATTCAGAAACTGTGCGTAGGTGAATCGTTTCGTCGTAGATAAAGACTGAGGATATGCTACATTGTTACCGTCCGTGTTTACATATGCATCCCACAGACCTTATCTTGGATAGTGCACTCTGGAACACACTGTGTAGCACGGCTACAGTGTGGGAACAACTGCCCTCCTTCGACATATCCCATAGAAAGAGTTTTCTCCAAATAAATAATGGTAGATAACATGTACGTGCAAGAATATCTCTGCAGTACCCTATTTATTAATTAAGTACATATTGGACTTAGGAACGTATCCCTCCATCTATATTCTACTAGTCTCCTATAACTGGCTGGCTGGCTAGCAGCCACAGCTAACAGAAATTGAGATGGGAGCCAAGAGAGAAAATATGGGGAGATAGTGGTCGACATGAAAAATTGTGGACGCATGATTTTTGTTTCTTTTTTTTCCGGGGTGGCGCATGATGGGATTGAGGTGCATCTAGAAGCAAAATGTCTGCAGCATCGAACTTCATCCGCAGCCTGTTGCCAGAATGCGAGGATAGGAAGAATTGAAGAAAAGTTGTTTGACTAAGAAAGGTTAGCTGGGACTGGTATTGGCTTAGTTAGACGGTTAGGGTTTTCGGTGCTTGGAGTTAAATGTCTCATGGACCTGCTTGATTCTAACCATTATAGGGAAGATTGTTTTTTCTACATTAGGACTTAGCCAAGGGAAGAAAGTTGATCCAACTACGTTTCATTCATAGCACACTGGTCGATTTTTTTTTGACATGATAGCAAAATGAGTTTCATATACTTAACTACTTCAGCAAAATCTCAAACAGACGAGAAAGATCAGCAATATATTCCAACACCGAAATCGTACACTCTCAAGTCTCAACATAAGACACAGAGGCCAATGAATTGAAGCACACATGGATGTGTAGATTTGAGATAATGATGGTACATAAAATTTCCAAGTCTATTGGTCATCCAAAAAAATACTTTTTATTTTGTCCTTTATTTTACCGCTGTTTTCTAGCAGCCTGACATTTTCTTGATAATTTCCCTCTCCGTGAGTTACAAGCAAATTGAAGGGAAAAGGCATTAGAACTGAAAAAATAATATGCAAGAGTAAATAATAATAATAATTTGTGATGTAAAGTAGACGTATCAATGTGTAGAATAATAAGCGGCAATATATTCTTAGTCTTGCCTGATATACTAGGTCAAGTGTTGCATGGCGGTTCTGTTTTCTTGATCATGAGTATACTTAAAGTAACAAGGACGCCGAAAACTTTGAGGACACATTTTTGGAAGAACAGATGGGCTGAACAGATCAAATTGATTGATACACTATGAGATCACATTGTAATTTAGTTATAAGTATTATCATGCAAATATTACCGTATGCATAGTTTCTCAAACCATGAGAGTATTAAGTGCATTCATGCAGGAAGGTGTACTTTTGGGGCACCTGAAATGTCACGCATAATAGGGTGACTGTAACGGTGACTTTAAGCTTCATCAAAAAAGTGTGACAAGGGACTTGATAGCTCCAGACTGACATTTGCTTCTCCAATGGTTCAGAGGTATTCTTAAGGCCCTATCAGTGTGATGGTATCCATTATCTTTTGGCCAGACATAGCATGACTTATTCACGGGGATGCAGATACGCAGGAATTAACGAGAACAATGAATAAAATCGATAATGAGGATGGCTGGTATAGTTATCAAATCTTGCTTCACGTGGATGCCGACAAGTCTCATTTCGGGCTTTGTAAAGTATTGCGGAGAAAATGGAATAGCACTCAGGGACAATAGATTAACTTAGTATTTGTTCGTGTGGGTGTAGGGGCCAATATGCATGTCCATGGCTCTGTTATTGACCATTGAATCGGAAGGAGTTCCGGGTTGATGTCTACATTTTACCAAACATGCAGGGTCACATACTTAAGGCTATTGATGCATTGAGTACTAGATGATTTCGTAACTAAGAGAAATTCAGCAGAAGAGTTTCGGGAACACTGAATGTGGTTCGGAGGGTGAACTGAAAAAGTTACCGAGGAAATTAGAAGTGTCCAGAGATAAATCGGAAGTGTTTCGGTGAGCCGGAAAAGTTTTGGGAACCAAATACCACTAAGAGACTAGGAAGGTTCCAGAGTTTTCTTGAGCTTGTCGGGAATGTCTAGGGCGCCATGGGCTAGCCCCAAGGCAAGGCCCAAGTGGGGAGGCAGCCACATACGCTCTATAGATCCATTAGTGTTGGACGCCCCTTATGTTTGGTGGCCATGCCACCTATTTGGTGTGGCTAGTCTTTGGATGGGGCCATCCACTTGGTCATGCACCAAGGAGGAGGGAACCCCTCCTCCAAGGCTACCCACCCCAATATATGCATATAAATAGAGAGGAGCAACCCGACCAAACACATCTGATCTTGGCACGTAGTTTGCCCCCATCTATTTTCTCACAAAAATATTCTTGTGAGGCTAGGCTGCTCCACATCGTGCTATAGTTCTCCGACGGGCAAGCCCTGTTGGTTCGATAGTTCCGTACGTGTGCATATCTAAAGAGGTATTGTACGTTCGATGGTCGATTTACGAATCAGTTCGAGGGACAAATTCTCGCAGCTAGGAGGTATGACCTAGTTTCCAGAATCTTCATCAACACGCTTCGCCCACTCTCCTCCCGCTGCGTTTTGTTGGTGAGCGGTCTAATCTAGATCCAATTGTACTTGTATCTTCATAGTGGTCCTAAGATGATTCCTATGTGTGGATTTGTTTTTGTTTTCTCCTACATTTCCCAACACATACCACCCTTCTTACTAATCATCAATAATTCTTTGGAAGGGAACAACACAGTAAAGCAGTTCTCCCACACTTACTTTCCTCTTCCACCATG